CCACCCAGAGTCACTACAGTCTGGGCAAAGTAAGCCAGGATGGGCTGTATCCTTATCTGAGAGTGACCCTGTGTCCCAATCAATAGCCAAGGCAAGATATCAGGGTCCCTTACCCCTAAGGTTCAAGTACCTAAAAGTTAAAAGGCTTGTTCTACTTTCTCATTCCAAAAGAGAAAATGGGAAGAATCTCCAGGCCAAAGTGAGGACAAAGGTAATAGCAAGTACAGAGAGCTGTGGCTGTTAGAAGGCCACAGAATTTGGCAAGGAGAGCTTAGTACAGATAGTCTCCAAATGACTCACATGCCCAAATTCCAGGAGGATATGCAAGCAAGAGACAGTCTTCTAAAGTCATGAGCCTCTCATCACCCTAAGCCTGTCCATGAGGCCCCTAGAGAGATCAAAAACTACCTCTCTGGGCAAAATGACAGACAATACTACACAGCGTCAGAGAAGGCCAATCTCTGGTGTTTTCAGCACCAAATAGTCCTTCATAAGACAAGTGTATAAGGTGATTAACTTTGTAGTCTCCAACCCTTTTAATGACATAACCTACCTGTATTTGGAGCATACATTGCCAACACAGGACTATCTATTTATAAATCAGACTCATGTACTGACATTAGGTATACTGTAAAACATACACAAAAATTAACGAATGAAATAAATACAATATGAGCATAAGCTACAGTATTCTCTTCTAGCACCTAGCTGATTATCTTATGAAGCTGGAAACCACTGGGTAAACAGTCAAACTCATACCAAACAGATGACCTGAACTTCACAGCTCTTCCCTGGATGCTGCCTCAGCTATTGCTCTGAATTTAGCAGACCTGATCTACAATCAGTGTCTTGCACTATTTTGCTACTCATCTTTGGACATTGCTCTCAGACTTCTAGGTCTTTGCTATTTCCAGAAAAGTTCTTTTCCCTCTTTGTGGACTGCCAAACACCAACTAATCCTTAAAACCTAGCTCCAGCTCTTCATTGTGGAAATGCTTTGGAGCTCATTTCTAAATCCTCTCTTCTAAAACCTTCAAAATATGAGCACTAGCACTCCCTTATCTGCTTACTTAGCACTTTCTTTATTCGGACTTCTTTTCTAACATGTATGTTATATTGTTATTATTAGTCACATGTCTCTCTTCTCCATTGTGCTGTATATAAGCACTATGGTGGTAGGGAACATGTCTTTTCTATTTCTGTATTCCCCAATGTCTAACACAGGGCTAGATCATTCTAAATACTCTCTAAAGTTTACTGAATGGACAAGAGAATCAATATGAATGAATGAATGAATTAATTAATTAATTAATTAACAAATGAAGGCAATCTGTAGGTCCTGGATCACTTGTAGCACATCCCATCAGGATTTCCACTATGTTTTCCCACCAACAGCATCACTGCCCCCCACAGACTTCTCATTGAAGTAAAGGAGAGAATTTTTTTTTTTTTAAGCACTTATACATATCAACAGAGAACTCTATAAATTGATGATCAGTTAGCTTCTCGGATAGTAAAGATCTATCCTGGCCTCCACACTATGCTTCATAGGAAAAGGCCTTTTCCCTTTGAGAAAGATTTTTATGTAAAATGAGTAAACTCTCCTACTTTAATTTAGAATAGCCACAAAAAATGAAGTCATTCAGGATTTCCAAATACCTGGCCATGTTAGAATGCTGGATTTTAATTGTCAAATTTATCAGAAAAAGCACTAGATTTGAAGCTGGAAGACTTTGATTTCCATCCTATTGGCCATGGATCACCTTGGGTAAATCACTTAACCATTCTGAACCTCAATTTCCCCTTCTATAAAATTTCTTTCCAGTCATTCATAACATTTATTTTGTACTACTTTGTGCCAGGCACTGGAAACAGAGCAGTGATTGAGACAGATACCCAGGTAGCTTACCATCTAACAGTGTTGATCTCTTCAAGTTGTTGAATTAAATGAGTTCATATGTTT